TCTTCATTATTTCCTTCCTTTTGTCTTCTTTTTTGAGTTCTTTGAGGTGTAAAGTTGGGTTGAGATCTTACTTTTATTTATTGATTTGAAAGAGAAAGGAAGAGTAAGAGGGAGAGGAAGAGGGAGAAACATTAATTTGTTGTTCCATTTACTTATGCATTCATTGGTTAATTCTTGCATGTGCCTGAGTGGGGATTGAACCCTCAATCTCAGTATTGGGACAATGTTCTAACCAATTTAGCTATCTGGCAAAGGCTCTTTCTTATTTCTTGATAGGCATTTATTGCTATGAACTTCCTTCTGTGAACTGTTTTTGTTGCATTCCATGAGTTTTGGTGTGTTGTACCTGTATTTTCAATTGTCTCGAGGTATTTTTTTACATCTTCCTTTATCCACTGGTTTGGTTAGTACCATGTTATGTCTGCTTATTTGTGAATATCCCACTTTTGTTCTTGTAATTGACTTCTAGTTTCAAACCATTGTGGTTAGAAAAGATGTTTTGTAGCTCAATCTTCTTAAATTTAGTAAGACTTGTTTTGTGAACTAACAAAAGATCTACAGTGACCTCTCACCTATCATGGGAGTTACATTCCAGAGACCCCCGCGATAGGTGAAAATCCTCAAAGTAGTGGCATTATATTTATTTTATTATTTATATATATTTTAAGGCCTTATAAACCCTTCCCACACTCCTATAAACCTTTCCCACTCTCCTATTAACCTTTCCCACACTCTTATAAACATTTCATATGCTCTTAAGCAGTTTCTACACTCTTAAACCTACATAATTTTAACATATAAAATTCTATATGGGTACTCACCAGTGAAGTATATATAACTTTTTTTTTTTAAGATTTTATTTATTTATTTTTAGAGAGGGAAGGGAGGGAATGAGAGAGAGAGAGAGAGAGAGAGAAAGAAACATCAGTGTGTGGTTGCTGGGGGTCATGGCCTGCAACCCAGGCATATACCCTGGCTGGGAATCAAACCTGCGACACTGGTTCGCAGCCCGCGCTCAATCCACTGAGCTACGCCAGCCGGGGCTCAGGTATACTATAACTTGAATGATGAAGATCATGAATTATGTAGCTGTGCAGTACTGATGGCGATGAAGGTGATGACAATGAGATGAATGTACTACACAGCCAAGAAGAGCACTACAGCTCTTCTGAAGGCACCACTTCATCAGGTGCTTCATCAAGTGATGCAATATCTTCACCCTGGGCCGTAACTTCTATTTCCTCTGAAGGTGTAGGTGTAACTGATCTCTTCATCTGAGTGATGAATGTAGTTATGGGGAGTTGCTGGTGCTGCTTTTTATCCACAGAGGCAGCTTCTCCATGTAGAGAAATGCTCTTGAGTCCAAAGAATCTCTGAAATTTGTCAAACCAGCTCTTGCTGGCACTGAATGGGGTTGGTCCGGTGGGAGAAACACTCGATGGTCCCGCTTCTACGTCATTGTCCTTGTCTTCATCCTTGTCACTGTCATAAACATCCATGCTTTCTGCAAAACTATCATAAAGTTTCTTGCCTTTGTCTGATGGTGTTGGTATCCAGTGAGATATTCTTCCTGTAGTCATTTATCCACAGGGCCAATGTGGACTCCATTCTCACAATGGCCTTATTGTGGGAAGTGACCACCCTCTTTGCAGTCTTGTTAAAAGTCATTGTTGCTGTAGACCTAATATTCTTCTTGTCTTTCTTTATGTAGTGAACAATAGATTCGTTGATCCTGTAATGGCAGCCTATAGCCGCGTACCTTTTGCCTTCCTTTAACATGTCGAGAAGTTCCACCTTTTCTTTGATGGTAAGCATATTCCTCTGGTGCTTGGGTTCACTGCCAGAAGCCTTAAGAGGTGCAGAATGTTTGGGTGGCATTGTAGGGCTTGAAATAAATTCAAACTTTTACAAAAACTTCACAAAAACACAACACTGCCAAGCAACACTACACGCAGCAATCAGATATCGATGTGAAGTGGATAAGGAGAGATGCTGATCATATGGGTACAGTGCAGGAGAGCAAACAGGCTGATGCTACGGTCGCTGAGCCAATCAGCACCCAGGATACAGAACACAGTGCTGTGGTTGGTTGCCTTCCATTCCATCAGCCAACAGTGTGCTGTGTACACTCTCACGTTGGCAAACTTGTGCAAGTGGTAGTGGCGTACTGCATTTCCATTTTGTACAGTACAGTATTCATCCACTGATGAAATACATACTGTATTTTATTTTGATGTAATATTCTTTTAATACGTTTGAATTAACATTTTTTATATTTTAAATTTTAAGGCAAAAATAGTTAAAATAATAAATATTATATAACTACCTATATACCACAAAATCCTGCAATATAGTGAAAACTCTGCAATACAGAATTATATATATATATATATATATATATATATATATATATATTTAAACCTGTGATACAGTGAAGCCGCAATAAGTGAACCACAATATAGCAAGGGATGACTGTATTCTGAGATGAGAATGTTCCAAGTGTGCTTAAGAAGAATGTGTATTCTGTGACTTTTTGATGAAGTGTTCTATACACATCTGTTAAGTACATATAGACTAACACGTCATTTGAGGCAGATGTTTCTTTACTAACTTTGCTTTTGTTTGGATTATCTATCCACTGATGAAAGTTGGGTATTAAAGTCCCCAACTATTATTGTATTGTTGTCTATATCCCCCCTTTATGTCTGTTAATATTTACTTTATATATTTAGGTGCTCCTGCTTTGGGTACATAAATGTTCTTCTCTCAGATATCCATTAACTTCCTTCAAGTCTTCGCTCAAAACTTCTCACTGAGGTCTACCTGATCACTCTCTTTAAACGCTGCAACCTGCCCCTAACCTACCTACTCCCACACATTTGTCAAATTCCCTTACCTTAGTTTATTTTTTCCATAGCATTTACTTACTAATACATAATTTACTTATTTACAATGTTTATTATTTGACTTCCTCTTCTCAAAAGTAAATTCCAAAAATATGACTGTTTGTTTTGTCCACTAATATATCCCAACTGCCTAGAATACTGCCTGGAACATTATAGGTGCTAAGTAAATATTGTTGAATAAATAGAGAAAAGGGTAGAGTTAAGTTTACTAGTATTTCTTTAACATAATTAATCTAAAAAAGTTAAGAAACAACTCTTCTTTAATTAATAAATCATTGCGTGCAAACAGTGCTGAAGTTTCTGATAAAGAAATGTGAAATTCTAAAATTTGGACTTCATTCATCAGGCACCGAATCCTCTTCCTTTAAACAGGGCCACTGAATATGGTTAAGTTGGTTGTAAACTGAACAGAGATACCAGGTAGGGAAACAAGAGAGGCCAAAATTCATTAGGCTAAGACCACAAAGAAATGGGGTAGTCTTTCTAATATGCACAAAGGCAATGCCAGTACCCACTGGTTTTAAATAATCAAACTTTAAAAATTTAATAATGTTTTAAATAAACCCTTCCAAAATGTATTAGATATTTCCTGAAAAAAATAATTGTGTTTTGCCCTGGCTTTTGTGGCTCAGTTGGCTGGAGCATCGTCCTCTAGACTGAAAGGTTGCTGGTTTGATTCCTGGTTGGGGCACATACCCACGTTGTGGGTTCAGTCCCCAGTTGGAGCGTATACGAGAAGGTGATTGATCACTGTTTCTCTCTCACATCAATGAAAGAGTTTTTTTCTCTCTCTCTCTCGATTAAAAAAAAAAATCAGCCCTGGCTGGTGTGGCTCAGTGGATTGAGTGCCAGCCTGTGAACCGAAGGCTGACAGTTTGATTCCCAGTTAAGGCACATGCCTGAGTTGTGGGCCAGATGTCTAGTTGGGGGAATCTGATAGGGAAATGATCAATATATTTCTCACATATTGATGTCTCTCTACCTCTCTTTCTCCATCCTTTCTCCTCGCTCTAAAAATAAATTAATTAAAAAAAAATTTTAAATCAAAGGTTTAAATGTGAAATAAAAACAATTCCACCCTGGCTGGTGTAGCTCAGTGGACTGAGCACGGGCTGCGAACCAAAGTGTCGCAGGTTCAATTCCCAGTCAGGGTACATGTTTGGGTTGCGGACCATGACACACAGCAACCACACACTGATGTTTCTCTCTCTCTCTCTCCCTCCCTTCCCTCTCTAAAAAATAAATAAATAAAATCTTTAAAAAAAAATTCCAGAAGAAAAACATAGGAAAATATTTGCATAAATTTATAGCAAACAGATTAAAGCCAGAAATCATAATTTAAATGTACAGCTTTCAAATTTTAAAAAACCATAAACCAGAAGTTATAAAAGTACTGCTTTAAAATATAAAATTTTGATTTGATAAAAGTAAAACAGGATTATAAGATAAAACTTGGAAATATGGAAAAAACACTTCCAACTCATAACAGAAAGAAGATTAATGTCTGTAGAGACAGGAAAGAGATTAGAGATTATCTAGGCCTGGCAATATCACTTTGATTACTATAAAACTGCAGTAAGTCTCATCAACTCAAATAAAAGCAATTACTTCCCTAAAATTGGTATGTCTATTATTACAGTGTGGTTGAAAACAGTTTGGATCATTAAAAAGCAGCTCACAATAACCTGTTTAATATTCATTTATTTGCAAATACAGAGGGGAGGGGGGAGGAGACTGTGGGGAGAAGGGTTTTCAGGAACTACTATAAAGGACACATGGACAAAACCAAGGGGGAGGGTGGAAGCAAGGGAGGTTAGATGGGTTTGGAGGGGGTGAGGAGAAAATACAGATGACTGTAATTGAGCAACAATAAAATAATTTAAAAAATGTTGGTTAATCTTAAAAAAGTATTCATTTATTTGCAAATAAACACATATATATGAATGAAATATTAACTCTGATCTCTGATCCATTATAAATTCTAACTCATAAAATTAAAATAAAGTATATCTACTTGTAACAGATAATAAATTCTTTATGTATAGAGATCTTAAAAAGTCTTAAATACATGTTTTAAGATAGAAAAAGACTTACCATCCAAAATTTTATAAAGTACTGTAAAACTGTTGTAGCCACGAAAAGGCAATATAATAAGGAATACAATAAAAACAGCAGGAAGAATTTGTAATTAGAAAATCCCACACAGTTATTCACCCTAGAAGAATACAGAAGGTCACACTGTAAAAATAAAGACAAATCCATAAACTCACAAAAACAAAAACTAGAACGTTTGCCAGGGTTCAGGGAGGGGAAATGAGAAGTTGTTTAATGTGGACACAGTTTTGCAAGATGAAAAAGTTCTGAAGACTATTTGCACAATGTGAACATACTTAACACTACTGAACACTACAAATGGTTAAGGTGGTAAACTGTATGTTTTTCTTTATTACCACATCAATAATAATAAATAAGACATTTCAAAAACCTTAATTATTATTTGGAAATGGGTCATTTGGGAAGTAGGGAGTATGTCTTAATTGTGGGTATGTGTTTTTAATAAATCCTATAAGGAACCTGGAATTTTAATCTTAATTCTTAATATATAATTATTTGGGTAAATAACATCAGACACTATTTTTAAAGGAAAATATTTAATGTAAACATGTACATACATATATGTGTATATATCTATATATATATATCAGTCTTGTTGTATACAAATAACTAAATTGCCCTTGAAAATTTAGGAATGATGAGGTTTATAAATCACTCTAAATTCTCTCCTTCCTGCCTCCCCACCCCAATATGTGACTTCCTGTATTTTTATACATACCAAGGACAGTGATGATCCATCTTAAGAATACATCTAAAAAACAAATAAGCATAAGAAAATTCATGCAGAGTATTATCCTAATTCTAACTGCAGATAATTTTCCTCAATTTTTTCTTTTTACAAATACATCCTGGAAAAACCAACCCAGTAAACACTAGATTAGAGAAAATTTCTGATATTTCCACTAACATTTTCATAGGTAAGACATAACAATTTTTTTATACTGAGAATTCAGCAGAGCATAGATAGTTGCCTTGGACTGTATCAAGTGACATTTTAATATACAGATATGATACATAGAGCACTTGGTACGTTAGCTAGTCCAACTCACAAATCAGTTGAAGGAAATAAAGTGAAATACAGACAATCTTTATTTTAAACATATGCAAATCATAAAAATAAAACTTTAGAAGCAACTGTGTTAAAATATTAACTTTGACAGGTTTATAAATGGTTATTTTTCCCATATATTTTATAGAATTCTACACCATAGATAAGCACTACTATACTTTTATAATCAGAAAAAAAATCCCAAAATTTGCCTCCCCACCAGTATATGTAACCTATATATTTATAAAGTCAAACCACAGATCATCTCAAATAACATAACAAATGAGTGAACTAATACCCAGAAGGTTAAATAGCTTGTCTAGCTCAAGTTGAAGGATTAACTGGGATTCCCAAACAAGGGATCTTTCCTTCCACACACTACCTTCTTACAAGCACACAAGGAATAAAATCTTTCAAGTTTTTCTGGGAACAATGTTACAGGTGGAAATCGAAAAAACATTTTTGTGTGTGGTTTGTTAGGTTTTAATATCAACAACAATAATAAAAAACAAGAAAATTGTCATTTTGGTCTTTTTAATCTAGGAAAAAATATTCTTAAGGGGGTTATTACTTGTTCATCAATATTATGTTAAGCGTGAACATAAAAAATACATTTAAAGAAAATTCCACTGACTACTATAGGAACTATTATCAAAGACTACTCCAAAGCACATTCTAGCTTATGGAAATATTTATGTTAGCCCACGTGTGTAGCAAATAATGGGAGAGGATGAAGTGTTTTTTGCTAAGTATAAAGCATATAAAATGTTTCTTTCCTTTTTCTCCTGTCACCAATTTCCAATGCTGGGGGTAAAGGGAAGCAAATGAGGGTAACACTTACATGTCACATGCTGAGCAATGATGCGCACGGTCAGGTTTAATCAACTGACATCTTTCACAGTACCTGATGGCTACATTTAAGAATTAAAAGGAAGTTGTTGAGAATGTACAAGGTCAGTGAATTTGACTATAAAATTTTCTTTCATTTCTTTTATAAATAACTCTGGGAAAATTGACAAGTAGTTATTTTGTCATCAGGTTTGATACTAATTCTCCCACTGACTAGCTGGTGACCTTGGGGTAGCAATTCACTTTCTAAAAGCCTCACTTCCCTCTTCTGTAAGTGCAAAATATACCAAGTGTAATGAACTACTTTTCAGATTAAAATGAAACCTTCTAGAATATATCAGATTCTCAATTAAGCAGTAAGTATAATAAAATTATTATTTCTAATAAAATATAAAGTTAGACTCTATGATGGGAAAAGATAGTGAGGGAGAGAAAACCAGAGAGATTAAAAAGTGTACAAACAGCCATAATGGAGAACACCCAGGAACAGATTTACTCCACAGATATCTCCTGATGCCTGGTTAGTGAAACACTGTGTTAGAGACCTGGGGGAACTCTTGGCTGCCAGACGCTTAGATAAAGTTAATGAGGTGAGATGGACATTGTTAACTAAAAGGCAGTGACTTGTAGTCTACCAGGTAGAAATTTGAGATGTTCCAAGAAGACTTTCTAAATCACTTCTCGTTAAAAATGAATAGAAGCTTAACAGAGGTGCATAGTGAATTAAAACTTTAAACTGGATTTAGAGAGGAGAAAATAATCATTCCAGGCAGAGAAAAAGACAAAAAAGAAAAGTGGATAAGGACAATGCGTTAGTGGAGCTGACAGAGAGAAACAGTATGGGACAAAGCTAGAGATAACTGCTGGTTGAATCAAGACTGGAGGGGAGAAGGTTTATAAAGATACATTATGTTTCCTGAATAGATAATGGTATGTCCACATGGCTTGAAAAAGCACAAAGAAGAATTCAGTGAGAAGGTCCCACCCTGGTACTTGGGCCCCCAAATCCTCTCTGTGAAGGCAGCTCCATTACTTTCAATGATCTCTAGTCTATAAAGGGTCGATTTTCTGTAACATGTATTCTGTAGTTTTGTTATTTAAAGATGAATGTGTAGTGCTTCTATAATAAGAAAAAAGAAACAAAAAGCTCCAGCATTTGAGATTCTAAGCAGTTGAAATCCAGTATAAAATGCTTCCCCAGAGCAGGATTTGCCAGTAGTGAGAACATAAGGCACAAGTCCCAGACCTGGCCATTGGGGATGCTGGATACCTCACTACACCCTATGTCTTCAACTATGAAATGGGGACAAGTGCAGCACCCATTTCACCCAGAGTTGTTCTGAGGATTAAACAATCACCAATAAAGTGCTTAGAATGATTTCTAGTGTAGTGTTCAATACATAAAGGGTATTGTTCAGATTAGAGGACAGACATTAGCAATAATGAAAAGTAGTAAAGCTTTAAGGGTAAAAGTTTTACATCATGCCTCCTAACTCTTTGGGGCACATATACTGCAATTAAAATCAGATGCTCTTGCTATGAATAGGTTACTTGAAAAATGACCCAAAATTTTGTGTATAATCTCAGGGCTTCATAAATTCTCTGAACTCTTAGACCCTGGGTTAAAAATATCTAATCTGCAGAACTATAATTACTAACAATTATTGTAAACCAGACCTTTCATAATTAAATATAAAAAAGGATTATTTTAAATTAGATATCATTTACTGACAATTTATTACGTACAAAGATCCATACTAAGTGCTTATCTCATTTATGAATCTCATTTAATACTTCCACTAACCCAGAGAGGTAGATATTATTATCCTAATTTTAAAGTGAGGAAACTAGGGCTTAGAAAGTTTAAGTGACTTTCACTGTATTAGTAATGGAAAGTTGAGGTTTGATCTGAAATCCATGTTTTCATTTCATATAGCAATATACCAGTTATGCAGAAAGGACAGCAATAAGTGCATAAAAAAATTAAAAACTTGGTCAAATATACCCTCCAAAATCTTGTGCAAACTTTATACTTTTAAAAACTCACAATGTGTATATAACTATACAAAAAAGAAGTACTTTTATTTTCCCTTGGAATTGACAAGCATGGTGGGTTCTGAAGCCAGAGTTCTTCAATCTAAACCTGTTTTCTCCCATATATCTGTCTGACCTTGAAATAGTTATTGAGTACTTAAGCCCTTCAGCATTTCTGTTTCCTATTCTATAAAGTGTATACAACAGTATCACCCTCACAGGACTGTTGTGAAGTTTAAATGAGTTCATGCACATAAAGCACTTAGAACAGAATAATTGTTAGTTATTACTATTATCTAGCATTTGAATGAATTAATGAGTTATATAATACATAATTAAAACAACTTCCTGTATTTAAATGAACACTTTGTTGATTCATAGTTTCACCCCTATCATAAGACTACCCTTGAGAAAAGGAAGCTGCTACTGTACTCACATATCTCTCAATGGAGGCAGTGGGACAGTAGACATACCAACAACTTCGGGACCACAAAAACCTAAGTTCAAATTCTGGCTCTCTGATATTAGCTTTATAACTCTGAACAAGTTTTTTATCCCTTTGTGTCTTACTTCTCTCCTTTTCAAGTTAGCACATTCTTGATTTTTAAAAAGTTACTTGGTGAGGACACACAATATTAAAATTCAAACCCAAATTTCCAAATGATAGTTTACTAAGAATAATAACTGAAGCTTTTAGTCATAAAGATTAAGTTGGAAAAGAAAGAACATGCAAAGAAAAGAGACTCACATTAAGGAGAGCCTCTTAAAAAAATCTATCAATATATGTACACATCTATATCTACAATACCACAGAAGATACAAACACGGGGAAATCTTGTTCCTGCCCATGTTATTTGTGGAATTACAATATCCATTTAACAGTCAAATCACATAAATATATCTTGGCAGGAATGACCATATTATAAAAATTATTTGAGCAGGAAAGGTTAAGATTAATTTTTCTTACTCCTTGAGCCTGACGTGGTATAGATAGGTAAACCCCTGGCTGTTCTTCTCAAAATTTCTTGTTGTCGTTCTTGGCTGAATTCTTTTTCATAATGTTCCCTTTCAGAATTGGACAAGTAGAACTATAAAAGCAGAAATAATTATTAATTTTTTAATCCCATAATTATGAACTATTACATTCATAAAAACAAAGTTTATTCATAATAGAAAAAAAAGCCAAAATTTTCTTTACAAAGGCAAAACTTTTCTTTGAATTTCTTTAAGATAAGTACATTTTAATAAAATTTATACCTGACATATTAAAAATGTTTTCTATTTAATAATAACAACAAAGAACATGAACTAAATATTTTGCATCTTGTTTTTTTTTAAAGAGAAAAATTCCTCCATCAAAAAGGTAATGAAAATTTTGGTGTTTGAAAGTTAAGTGTCAAGATTTTTAATTTTTGAAAAAATGTCTATGGATTCATTTGCTTTGACTACAAGACTAAATCACAAACCTTGGGGTCCTACTCTTTTCTGGCCAAATGTCCCAATGAGTAAAAGTCATTCTTTTACTACTCTGTTTTAGCTTTTAAAAAGCTAGCCAAATAGGACTACTGTCTCCAGAATTATTAAGGACAGTCAAGGCAACAATAGGAGTCTCTTTTTCTCAAGCAAAGACTCCTTTATGGAGTTGTTTCTAGTTTTCATTTAAGTTTTTATTCCCATAATATAACTTGCATATAACTATATGCATCTCTTAAATAGCATTTTCCCTACAAAGGACTTCCGTTATTCTTCTTTTGATGTCATCCTAGTACCTTAAGGAACTCCAGTTTTATGATTCTATTCCATGTAACCAGGAGCTTTATGTTTCTATCAGTGTTTATTTCACAAAAGTTTTTTTATAACTAAAAATGGCTTGAGACTTGCTTTTGATTATGCTTTATATGTTAACAATACTATTCCTCAATTTTTATTTACCTATACAGTTTTGCTCAAAAACACCTAAGGAATAATGTCTGGAATTTTATCTTTTTATATTTACATATTTTGGTCTGCCTGTTAGCTCAAATACCAAAACTCCCCACACTTTAAAAAAAATTTTTTTTGATCTTCACCTGAGGACATGCCCATTGATTTTAAAGAGAGATGAAGTGAGGGAGAGAGCAAGAAACATCAATGTAAAACAGAAACATCGATTGGTTGCCTCTCATACATGCCTCAACTGGGAATCGAACCTGCTACCTAAGTATTTGCCATAACTAGGAATTGAATTCACAACTTCCAGTTTACAGGACAATGCTTCAGCTGAACCACATGGGGGGGTTAAATTCCATATATTCTTGATGCCTTATCATCAACAACAGTATTAGCTTATCAATGTAGCCTATTCTATTATAAATAAGGCATTAGTTTGGCATAGAAGAGCGAGCTGTGGTCGAGGAAACTGATCCCAATAGGCTCAGGTTACTGTCTGAGACTGCACAATTACTGGCAGAGCTGGTAATTAAATTCAAGTCTTTTGAGTTCGAGCTCTAGCATGTTTCCTCCAGTACTGCTGATGTAAAATACATGCTGTTGCTTTTCACAGACTATTGCTCTAACTAGACTGAAACACCACAAAATGGAAGTGTCTATTTAGGTTACTGGGTCTGGCTCCCTCAATCCAATCTTGATGGTACAAGCAATCCCAAATTACTTATAAAAAATAATAAGTTACATAGAGAGGACAGAAAGAAGTCAGAGACATTTCCCCTGATCATACACTTGAGACTTAAGGTCACTTTAACCTAGGTAGGCAGGAATCTTCAGACCACCTTTCCAAGATCTAGGCCCTCTTGAATTTTTCAGGTACAGAAATACTTACCTATTTTGCAAGATGGCCCATTATCTTAAAAGGAATTATAACTTGTTAAAAAGTTCTTCCCTGCAAGTCCATGTCTTTGAAACATTTATAAGTAGAGAATAAAAATCTTATAGTATGACTGAGAGAAAAGGACCTAGGTTTGGGACCACAAGGACACCAGGTGGCCAGAAAGAAATCCAGACTGTAAAATACCATCTTTTACTCCCTACTCAGAAATACAGAGGTACCTACTTTTATTTCCCTTCTAACTGCAGATGCAATAACTAGCATTCTCATGTGCAGCTGGCTGATGAAGTGTTGACTGCTATTCCACCTTCCTGGGATGGTGGTAACAAACAGTTCGATATTTTGGCCCTCACAGCCCAGGGGGCAAAGACGGATGTTAAGCAATCTGACAGAGGAGGAAGTAGATAGACTCTGAAACAGAAAATTCCACAAGCCCACCTTTTTCAAAAAGTTTGTCTTTTCATACAAGTCCACTCTGTCCCCAGCTTATAAAAGCAGCCAAGCAGAGCCCAGTTTAAAGGACCTTTCCTGCCCTGGCTGGTGTGGCTCAGTGGATTGAGTAGTGACTTATGAACCAAATAGTCGCCAGTTGGATTCCTAGTCAGGGTACATGCCTAGGTTGCTGGCCTGGTCCCCAGTTGGGGGCACATGAGAGGCAACCACACATTGATGTTTCTCTCCCTCTCTTTCTCCCTGCCTTCCCCTCTCTAAAAATAAATAAATAAAATCTTAAAAAGAAAAGAAAGAAAACCAGAAACCAGGAAGGAAGGGAGGGAGGGAGGGAGGGAAAGAAGAAAAGAAAAGAAAAGAAAAGAAAAGAAAAAAAGAAAAGAAAAGAAACTTACTGTCTCTCTTGTGCTCAAGCATAAACCTAATAAAATCTGGCCAGGGAGGCTTCTGGTCAAGATGGCAGAGTAGGTAATTGATGTACTCACCTCCTCCCACAAACACATCAAAACCATAACTAAAATACAAAACAACCGTCATTCAGAACCTCCTGAAACCTAGCTAAACAGAAGTCCTACAACTATGGATATGATGAAGAAGCCACTACAAAACTGGTAAAAAAGGTAAAGATGCAGAACAGACTGGTCACATGCCCATGTATGGCAGTTAAAGGTCACAAAGGATAGGTTGTCTGTGGAGGTCTCCCCTTGTAACTGGGCAACATGGGCTCCAGCCACTTGTTGTCTCCATGTATAAGCAGGGAACAAAGATTTGTTAGTAAAGAAATAGGTTTTTATTAACAGGGTTCCCAATTTGAGGGGGCCATTCCTGCTCTGAGCTCACCAAGCCAACCTTTCCCGTAAAGCACAGAAAACCAACCACCTTCAGGAAGATTAATGTCTAAATCCATGTCCAGAAGTTCCCCATTATTGCTTATCTGTAGCCCAAGGTTATTACTCAAATGGGTCTCCATCTCTACAGCTCTGGGCTCTCTCTCTCTCTCTGGAGCCAGGATGGCCATCACTGCATAGCAGCTTGATCTCTCTCAGGGTCTAGGGTGTGCTGCCAGAACACTCCAGACAGTCGTGCAGGGGAAGCTCCATCCACAAGGAATTTCCCAGCTTAGGCCTCTGTGAGCTAATCTCAGGGTGAGAAAGAGTAGAAGTAGCCCAGGACCCATATGCCATGCTGCAATGGGTTGTAGCATCCCAAGGGCTAGAGTCCAGTGAAGGACACATCCCAGCAAGGGACCATGCCTCCCGGAGCTGGCTTCCAAACACGCAAGGCATAAGCCCTGAGCACTCTCCAACCAGGGGTGTGAGGAAAGCAAGAGGGCCCAAGAAGACAAAAGGACAAGAGGCCCAGAGGCCAAGAGCCAAGCTTCTGCCCACCTTCTGTTTAAAAGGCCTCTCCCCAAATCCCATATACACTGAAAACCAGTGGGAATATCCAGCTTTTCAACCAATAAGGCCCAGTGTCAGCCATATTTGCCTTTTCCCCTCTTCCAGCTGACATGTTTATTAGCAAGGGGGCAAAGTCTTAAGCCATGCATACTCGGTACAAGCTTCCTTCTGCTGAGTCACGAGCTGCTTGTCTGCCTTGGAGAATCTCCCTCTGGAGCGTTAACTGCTTTTAATCTTCAATTCCACCTTGGGGTTTTTTCTCCCTGTCCCCTGCCTTCTCCAGCAACTTGTACTGACTACTTACTTTGTCACACCCTGAGGAGTGAGGTGTCCCAGCCCCACATTATGCATCTCCCCAGAATAGGGTTCCACTGCTGGGAAGAGCACTTCCCATAACTTCTGGCTGTATAAAACAAAGATTGTGGTTGAGTGAGGCTGAGGACTCCTGATGTCCCAGGTGTTCCTCTTAAAGGGCCTGTGCATAAACTTGCTGATGATCTCACTCGCTCTGAGGTCCAGCATTAAGGCAACACTCAAAAAGTTTCATATGGGGCCATGGGTGGTGTGGTTCAGTGGATTGAGTGCCAGCTTGCAAACCAAAGAGTTGCTAGTTCTATTCCCAGTCAGGGTACATGCCTGAGTTTCAGGCCAGGTCCCTAGTAGGGGGCATGTGAGAGGCAATCACACACTGATGTTTTTCTCCTTTTTTCTCCTTCCCTTCCCCTCTCTCTAAAAATAAATTAATAAAATCTTTTTAAAAAAGTTTCATATGGGTACACAGGAGGAGGAACTGAATTGTCTGACATCAGTATGAGGGCTAGAGGGGCAACTTTCTCCCAGAAGTGCTGACAGAAGCCACTGTTCTTTTGCTGAGCCCTCCCCACATAGAAGCAGCAGGTGGACACCATATCTGAGCCTCCATCAACCTAGCTCACACTGTTCTCCCCACCCTGCTGATTCCCAGAGACCCCGCCCCACTCAAATTGTGGGCCCACCTACGTCATTTCCTGTGGCTTTTTCACACACACAGCCTATCTTGGCTCATGCTTCAGATTTTCCTAATATCTCTCAAGCACGCAGCATCTAGTCCCTGTGTACTCCATACCTGTTGCTGTGACCCCGGGCCTGGCAGTAGCAGCAGCTGCCAATCCCAGCATAAGTAGCAGCCAATAGATAGCTTTGTAGGTCATATCCACTGGCCCTGAGCAGGACTTAGGCAGCTGAACTGGGCCTCCACCTCTCAAGATGATCCAGAGTTAGTGCACCTGCTGGACAGCTTTAGACCATGTCAAAGCACCATACAACCACCTCCACAAGCAACATATGCAAGGGTCTGACTCAGTGGGCACCAGAGCCCCCTGAAGAGAGTCCTGGTCCATGGGGTTGACTGCTACACAGCAGATCCTCAACAATC